ATTTTTTCCACGACGATTGAATCGCTTTTTGAGGCACCATGTTCCACGCTTCAGTTACGTTAAAGACCGCATCTTTAAGGTTCATGTCCTTCAGTGTTTTAGTGACATCATCATCCCGGATAATAGCATTCAACAAGAGTCTCTTCTTGTAGTTACATTTTATCATCTGAATTACATTCTGGTCCATAGGTTAAAGTAACGGTGTGCAATTAGGTGACATAAAATGTGTTTGAATCTTACCATCCCTAGATGATTGTAACTCATCATTTGGTTCATGGGCAGGTGCATTATTCAACAACAGAACAGCTTTAGGTGGAAGATTCTTGCTTTTCAAAAATTTACGTACCGCAGGCACAAAATCATTGTGAAACCAGTCAATGAATAATTCTTTAGTTACCCATGCCTTGTTTTGATTTTTATACACAAGTGGAAGATTAACATTTTTGAACGCTTTAGGATTCTTCGCTTTTCCAATAAACAGCAACTTAAGCTTATGAGTGCCACTAGCATTTGCACAGGGCATAATAGTGACCCTGTCTTTTGACACTTTCCTGCCTGGAGCTTCTGACTCCTTTCTGTAAACATAAGTTTTGTTAGGTAAAACTCTCCGAAACAGGCCGCTTTCGTCAGCGTTATAAGCTTGATCTGGAGTTAAACTGAGGTCGTCAACTTTTTTCTTAAAATTCTCGACAAATGGAGCGACGGCTGATGTGTCACTGGATAATTTTTCGCCGGTTACAGTCAACAAACGTATTCCATATCTTGATTTGAAATTCTGGAACCATCCATCACTAGCTTTAAAGTTGGCATTCTTATATATTTTTTCATAAAAAGTTAAGGCTTCTTGACGAATAATATCTCCAGTAAGAGGCGTATTACGGGCTCGTTCTTGAAGAAACCACGTATACAACGCGTCTTCCATAAGAGGATACTCTCCAACCTTAATAGTCTGTCGTGAACTCGTCCCGGCGTCAGCAGTGTTGGCGAAGTTTTCAATCTTCTCACGATTCTTTTTTATATCGTAAATTGTTGCACGGCCTACACCATATTCACCAGCCAACTTCATCTGATTTTCACCACTATCCAACTTTCGCAAAATTTCCATCTTTTTAATTAAACTTAATGTTTCGTGTTTACGTTTTTTGTCCGCCATTTTGTCAAAGCGACGCTGCGAAACAAGAAAAAGCAAAACAAACACGTGACTTCACTATTATGGTTAGGCCGAGACTGTTTGTCGCGAGCGAGACAAACACTACTCGAACAATTCAACCGCTCAGTAGTCCGGCGTTCATGCCGGATTATAGAGCGGGCTACCCGAGTCCCAAAGTGCCGGACTACTGAGCGTGCCGGATTGGCGAGCGCCGGATTACCAAGCGCCTACTGTATTTCCATTCTGGCACGAATTTGACTTTCCAGGAACATTTTTTTAACCGACATCGCCATATTTTGGAAGAACACATCTATTGGATGTTGTTCTGCTGGCTTTTCCAGAATTGTTGGTAATAATTTTGCCCTATCATCAGAATTTTTCTTAAACATTTTTGCAATAATTTCTGACGATATTTTGCTGTCTGGTTTTCGCTTATTGAACGGCTTGTTCAATGCACCTGCTTCAGATTGTTGTTCAGTGATAGTGGGGATATTGCCATTGTTACTATTGTCAGGGGTCTTTTCAGGATCATCCATTTCTTCTTCCATTTCTTTATTTTGTGTTTCATATTCTGTACCATCATCTTGTGTTTCTGTTGTCTTACCTTGTGTGGCAGTATTTGTCAAAGTCCTGAAAAAAATCTATAAAATGCTAATGTAGTAAAGGTTATTTGTCTCAAAACACCCGTTCAAGTTAAATGCCGTCCTTCAGGCACTATCCTTAATTATCGTAATTTACTTACGCCCTTTCGCATTCAACCAAGTTGAGGAATACAAGGTGTTCTTCGAGATGTCATTTCCGTAATACCTTTGATCTGGCGGAGCCTGTAGGCAGTTTTTTTGCTCCTTTTGCGCCTCATATAAGTATCTCGAATATATTTCCAACGGCTTTTATATTCTTCAACTAAAAGAGAAATATGCCTTTAAAGCTGTATTTTTATTTTTTAGGTTTTTAGCTACTGGAGAAAGTTATGCATCTTTAGCTTTTGCATTTCGAATATCACCAAGTTACATAAGCCGCATTGTAAAGAAGGTGCTAAAACTATGCAGTGAAAAACTTCCACCTATTTTCGTGCCAACTCCTACCCCACAAGACCTTCTATCACTAGCCAAAGACTTTGAAGGAAAATGGAATTTTCCAAATTGTATTTCAGCTGTGGATGGCAAACATGTTAGAATTTTTTGTCCTGGAAAAAGTGGTTCTCAATTTTTTAATTATAAAGACTTTTTTTCCGTTGTTTTGCTTGCTTCTGTCGATGCTAACTACAAATTTGTAATGGTTGATATCGGTTCATACGGTAGAGAAGGTGACAGTGGTATCCTAGAAAAATCTAATTTAGGGAAACTGATTAAAAATGAAGAATTTTATCTTCCACCAAGACAAATAGGAGAAAAACTGCTATCTTACGTAGTAGTAGGAGACGAAGCTTTCAAATTATCAACACATTTTATGAAACCTTTCTCAAGGAACGACTCTCGTGCTGATACAATAAAAAAGCTGTTTTCAACCACAGGCTCTCACGTGTAAGAAGAGTATCAGAAAATTCATTCGCTCTACTGAGTCAAATTTTTCGAATTTTTTATATCCCAATAGCTGTTAATAAAGAAATTACAGACTGCTTAATAATGACTGCCTGTTGTCTTCATCATATGTTAACCTTCCGGGACTGGCGTAAAATTTTTGCGATCCGATACTAGATTTGAGGCAATTATAAAAAAGTTTGCAATTATTTTTGTTTATTTATATAAGAGCGTGAAAAATAATTAAACAACATTAATTTTGTAACGTAAAAACGTATAGGAATATATATTTTTGGCATTATTACAAATACAGCAGAAAAGTTAACATTGTTAAAACTAGTTACTAAAAAACATAAAATTAACGTAGGTATTTACTTAAATATGAACAGAAAATAAACTTATCATAAAACTAAATAAAACTATTCACTGTGACATTCCAAACATATAGGTGTCAAATGTTCCAGACACATAAACAACGAAACATTCTTTCTTCATGGCGTTACAAATAAAATAATAATTAAACAACATTAATTTTGTAACGTAAAAACGTATAGGAACATATATTTTTGGCATTATTACAAATACAGCAGAAAAGTTAACATTGTTAAAACTAGTTACTAAAAAACATAAAATTAACGTAGGCATTTACTTAAATATGAACAGAAAATAAACTTATCATAAAACTAAATAAAACTATTCACTGTGACATTCCAAACATATAGGTGTCAAGTATATAACACGTTTTAACCTTGTTTTCGTTATTAGACTTCTTACTTGTATTTGTATCATCCGTAATCTTCAATCAAAATGTGTATCGAAACCGTTTTCATATATATTCTTTCTGATACATGGTTTTTCCTTTTCTTATTACTTTTATTATCTAGCTGTCATATTTTAATGTTTATTATTCTCTCTTTTTTTTTTCTCGTAACCCAACACTTTCTTCTTAGTAACGCACTTCTGTTTTCACATTTTAAATTTTTATAGCTCATTATTTTCTTTACTTAATACTATTTTACAATACTTTCCCATTTAAAAAAATCAATTCAATTTTGTCAGTACATTTTAATTTTATGACGAGCGACTTCTGTCAGATATTTTCTTTCAATTTTACCCCTTTTTGATATGCAATTTTGAATACATTACATTTCCATACATCTCAATATATATATATATGTTGTCAAGATGTTTCCGGGTTCCTCTCCGCGTATGGTTTTCTTGATTCTGGATAGAATCGTGTTCTGGACGACGTTTCGGCAAGATCACACTTGCCATTTTCAAGTCTTCTTTGTTCTACTTCGTGTAATACGTTGTGAACTGGTGTTTACCTGCTCTGCTGCTGCTTTATATATTATTTTCGCGTTCTCCTTCACTGGTTTTCGCCTCGGTTCGCTGCTCGTTGGTGCGTCAGATGTCATGCTTGGTGAAGCGTTGCGTCGCGCTCTGATGATTTTGTTTGCGAGAATCGGTTTCCAAGCTATTGGGAGCCTTTGTGTATCGTCACGTGTATTTAGATTTTTTGTATGTTTTTCGATTTCTATGGCTTCTCTGATAATTCTTTTGGTTTTATGTTCTATGTTGGCAATGATTCTTGTTTCTTCGAAATTGATTTTATGTCCGGTGTTTTTCGCATGTTGCGCCAAAGAAGAGGTTGCCTGATTCTTTTCTACAGCATTTCTGTGTTCCTCTCTTCGTGTTTGAACTCTTCTATTTGTTTGTCCTATGTATGATTTTTCGCAGTCGCCACAGGGAATCTGGTAAACGCCTTGACCTTCGAGTGGAATCTTCGTCTTCGCTGATGGAAGAATGTTGCCAATTTTCCTGTCGGTATTGAAGACAGTTTCAATTTTATGTTTCTTCAGTACTTTGCTGATTTTGTCAGTGGTTCCTTTTATATATGGAAGGAGTGCTTTGGCAACTGGTTTATCTTCTTCGGTCCGTTCTCTATTGTGGCGTGGTCTTAATGCTCTCTTGATGTTGTTATCCGAGAAACCATTTTGTTGAAGAGCTTTTTTAACTTTTTCGATTTCTTCTGTTTTGTGTTCGTTGTCAGTCAGCCTTTCTGATCGTGTTATTAGAGTTTTCAAAACAGAATTTAGTTGTGATGGATGGTGATGGGACTCGGCATGCANGGCTGACTGACAACGAACACAAAACAGAAGAAATCGAAAAAGTTAAAAAAGCTCTTCAACAAAATGGTTTCTCGGATAACAACATCAAGAGAGCATTAAGACCACGCCACAATAGAGAACGGACCGAAGAAGATAAACCAGTTGCCAAAGCACTCCTTCCATATATAAAAGGAACCACTGACAAAATCAGCAAAGTACTGAAGAAACATAAAATTGAAACTGTCTTCAATACCGACAGGAAAATTGGCAACATTCTTCCATCAGCGAAGACGAAGATTCCACTCGAAGGTCAAGGCGTTTACCAGATTCCCTGTGGCGACTGCGAAAAATCATACATAGGACAAACAAATAGAAGAGTTCAAACACGAAGAGAGGAACACAGAAATGCTGTAGAAAAGAATCAGGCAACCTCTTCTTTGGCGCAACATGCGAAAAACACCGGACATAAAATCAATTTCGAAGAAACAAGAATCATTGCCAACATAGAACATAAAACCAAAAGAATTATCAGAGAAGCCATAGAAATCGAAAAACATACAAAAAATCTAAATACACGTGACGATACACAAAGGCTCCCAATAGCTTGGAAACCGATTCTCGCAAACAAAATCATCAGAGCGCGACGCAACGCTTCACCAAGCATGACATCTGACGCACCAACGAGCAGCGAACCGAGGCGAAAACCAGTGAAGGAGAACGCGAAAATAATATATAAAGCAGCAGCAGAGCAGGTAAACACCAGTTCACAACGTATTACACGAAGTAGAACAAAGAAGACTTGAAAATGGCAAGTGTGATCTTGCCGAAACGTCGTCCAGAACACGATTCTATCCAGAATCAAGAAAACCATACGCGGAGAGGAACCCGGAAACATCTTGACAACACATATAATATCCGCGGAAATCTGAAGTTCAACATATATATATATGTATTATAGCCGTAAACACAGTTATGTCCTTTCCTTGAAGTGACATCATTAATTTTAGAAAATATTTCTGTTAAATAGGCAAGTCTAAACAACCAGTATTTATTAGTTAAATTGCTTTGTAAATCAAATGTTCCAAAAGAAAAGCATGAACTCGTAACTCAAACAACCGAAGTAATATTTTACCACGGCACAACCATCGAAGATCAACACAAGATCTTAAATAGTCGCATATTTAACGGTCGAGACTTGATGAAATTTATTATTTTTACAGACTCATCGAGGGTAGTTTTGAAGGGAAGTGACATATTTTTCATAGCAAGTGTGTGACGGTGAATTATACAGTCACAGCTACTGCAATTCTTTGCTACAGTTTTGATCTTTGAAACAGCACCTGAAGTTTTTCCAACCATAGCTCTTGCCCCA